TAGGCGCTTTCGGACGCAGCCATTCATTCAGCTCACATTCATACTGTATAGAACGTACTTTTCCATCGGCCGAGTAGTACGCTTAAATTCAAATGCAGTTCCTACTGAGTAGTAGACGGTTTCTGACGCAGCCAATATTCCGACGAAGAGTAAGTCTACCATGTAAATAGCAATTTTTAATGAATTCAATCAAATTAAGGTCACAATCGAACTAAACAGAAATGGAATTAAGACGTGGAGATATTAGTGGCATTATAGAATTTTAGTACAGACATGCAAACACTCAAACTATTACTGTTGTGTAGGATTTTCGCCGCATTTTGCGATAAGACAGCTGTTTGACACTATACTCTGCACCTACCAAGTCAGTGAAGGATCACAGACACACAAAATGCGGAGGCGTGCGGTATCATATCCATTAAAACAACACTCTTCCAGCAGTTCATACTCGCATCCAATATCTCGTTACGGGGGCATGCCTGAAATGTTCCTGAAAGTGCCAAAATGCAGGTAAAGTCGAACAATTAATAATGAAACTCCGGAGGAAATGTGGATAGTGCTGACGCAGTGACGTTAATCGATCTATGTGCTATAACATGTAAAACGGGATCGTGAAAGGAACCTTCAAAAAGCAACCCGCGCTTATTCGTTCATTTTCTTTTCGGATTATTATTTATTAACCCGGGGTCGCCACAGCGGAATGAACCACCAACAGATCCAGCACATTGTTTTACGCAGCGGATGCCCTTCCAGCCGCAACCCATCTCCGGGAAAACGCTTATTCAGATTAAGGCTAATAATTTGATTACTGATGTCCATGTAAACGTAGTCAGTGATGATTATCGTCAGAAGGACGCCATTTCATAAATTAACCGTCATTTTAAAAAATGCTTAAACACAACGGACACCTGAATAACAACTGGTTAAACCCTCAGAATGAACGGCGGTAAGTATTAACAGAGAAGATGCCAAACAAAATTACCTCAGTTATCCAGAACGTTAATCTTGTTGGTCTGGAACCAAGCTGCTACTCACTTACCGGTGTATTTAGAGTCGTTGTCTTGGTGAAACACTCGTTTTCAAGGACCGTTTCTCTTCGGTATAGGGTAAACAACCTCTGTTGAATGTTGTTTCTAGCAGAAACAACTCTGCTAGAATGAATTGAGTGTCTGTGGTACAGCAGACAGTTTGTTAGACAACCTCCAAACACTGAATTCAAGCCACATTACAGGCTTCTTCGACTATATGTTGTGCCTATGGGTTGCTTGTAATCACGTGGTTCTGGTGGCAAGCGAGATTTAGATTCAAGTTTTCTACACTATAATTATAGTTGCTTATTCAGCCGAAACGCCAATACAGATATGGATTATTGCAAACAAGATGGAGGTTTCATTGCTGCGATTACATGGCAGGGTAAGGTACTTATATTCTCCTGGATTTAGCATAAGTCTCGTGATGTTTGTATCTGATTTTTATATAACCCCTTAACATTTAATACACACATAATTACACACAAACTAATTATCGTGCTCTAAAACGATTTGTACACATCTATGTATTAAAAAATGTTTATTTCTTGCCGCCTCTTCTTAAACGCTTCCCCATTATGAGCAAAAACATTCGTTACTATATGAAAGCTGTTTGCCATTTCTCGTTTTAGCCAATTTAAACAATTATAAACAACTCAAAACATACATATTTAGATGTTCTGATTCCTATGATGAAGAACCGCATCCAGCCCTCCATCTTAATTTCGAACGTCACGCGAAAACATCCTATTTAAGACATTCCAGGGATCATGGATCAATTTGAGTACGTGAGAATACTTAAAGAGGTCGCGTTGCCCTATGCTGGAGAGGAAATGTCCTTATAAAGAGGGTTTCAACAAGACATAACCCCCAAAACACTCTAAGCGAGCAGCATCTTGGTTTCAGACCAACAGAATTAACGTTATAAAGTGGCCAGCCTAGTTCCCAGAGCTTAGCCCAATAGATAAACCCGAAGGCTGATATCAAAACATGCTGCTTCTGAGGCAAAACCGAGAAACGTAGAGGAAGGTTCCAGAAATTAGTGCAACGGAGATGGAAAGCAGTTCTCAGAACTGTGGTTATACAACTAAATAACATTATGGAGTGGCCAGCCTAGTCCCCAGATCGTAACCCAATAGAGAAACCTGTAGGCTGATATCAAAACATGCTGTCTCTGAGGAAAAAACAGGAAATGCAGAGGAAGATGCTAGAAATTGTGCAACACAGATGGGGAGCAGTTCTCAGAACCATGATTATACGTTTATATAAGGTTATGGAGTGGCCAGCCTAGTCCCCAGATCTCAACCCAAAAGAGAATTTTTCAGGCTGATGTCTGAAAATAGTTTCTGAGGCAAATCCAAGTAACGTAAAGGAAGTTGCCAGAAATTGTGCAACACAGATGGGGAGCAGTTCTCAGAACCATGATTGTACGATTATATAACGTTATGGAGTGGCCAGCCTAGTCCCCAGAGCTCAACCCAATAGAGAATTTTTCAACTATTTCAATTAATTGTTACAGTTTTGACCAAAATATGCAGACACTGGTATTTTTCAAACAGCCTACTATTTGTTTGTCTTCACTTTCTGTAAAGTAATAATGCTTTTAACATTTTCTTCATGGTTTAATTTAAAATGTTTAGTATCCCCAATGCATTTGTATGTATCGAAATAAAAGTTATTTTCAAGATTTTGAGATTTACTCAGCTTTTTTCAACACACTGCTAATAATTTGTAGATAGATAGATAGATAGATAGATAGATAGATAGATAGATAGATAGATAGATAGATAGATAGATAGATAGATAGATAGATAGATAGATAGATAGATACAGCACAATATATAACAGCAATGGGGTGAAAGATTATCCTTTGCGTGTGTATTTAAGGTCTTTGATTGATCGTTTCAAGAGTGTGTCGCAGAAATTTGACCATTTGTAACTTTAATAAAGTTTATTTTATTGAAAAAATTTAGCAACGAAGGCTATACAGTGTTGTTTTACGTTATACTATTCAAATTCTGTACCCGAATAGCCTACTCCTGTCATTTGTTTATCATTTTTAATAGCCGATTCACTCGCTACAAAACCATCCGAATCAATCCAAATGAATGAATTCTTTCCAAATAGAGCTATTCATAATATCGTACTCTTAATACAGTAAAACTAATTCCTGCAAAGTCCGATTCTACCAGTATCGTCTCAAAGTGCTCAATAATATTTGCATCTGGTGACTCTGCAGGCCATGGGAGATATTTAACTTCCCTTTCATGTTCGTCAAACCACCTTCAGGATACAATGTTTGACCCACTGGGTGCATACGGTCCTCCGTAATGCTTCAGTAGTCCTCGGCAGTGATGCTCCATCAAGCACTAGGTCTATGGAATGCCAGGACATTGCAAACCAGACCTCCCATGCTTCACTCTGGGCAGGCAACAGTGTGGGTGACATGCTTCTTTGGGGCTTCTCCACACCGTAACTCTCCCGGACGTGGAAAAGACGGCGAAGGTGGACTCAACACAGAACAATACATGTTTCACAATGTCCACAGTGACCAGGTTTGGCTATAGCAGCCCGGCCATGTATATTGACCCCCTCCCGACAAACAGTTTTGCTAGAAGCAGGAGAGTTGAATCCTGCAGTGAGATGGACAGCTGTGGTTTTACGTTATTTGGATATAATCCGGGTAAGCACTCAGGCGTTAGCTTACTCTTGCGTCCACAGGTAATTCTGATAAATGTGGTCCGTCTTTCGTGGCAGTCTGCTGACATTACCCTTGATACAGTGGCGGTTGATATGTTAACTAAGTGATATCTCTAAATCTACCCCTGAACCTTCTACAACCCAGTACTTTCGTTTGTGAGTACATGCTAACTCCACAGACAGTCAAATAAAAAGTGTAACTGAAGACTTTTATTTTGTTACTAATGACTTAATTGCTGATATACTCATCATGATATCATCATTTTCATCCGCCTATCTGGGGCCGGGTCGCGGGGGCAGCAGTCTTAGGAGAGAACTCCGGACTTGGTTTTGAATGGTTTGATGCTGCGTTCACACCAGACGCGTCAAGCGCGAGTGATTTACATGTTAAGTCAATGCGGACGCGCGAATAGACATCCTGTAGCGCGATACACGCGAATGGCGCGGCGGGAATAACGCGAATGGCGCAGTGCGAATAGCGCGATACGCGCGAGGCGAATTGAGCGTTTTGCGCATTTGACGTGCTTAACAAGCGTTTCACGCGAATCTCTTGAATTCGAAAATCTGAACTTCAACGGACATTCGCGCCGCGTTAACCAATCAGAAGCTTGCTCTTGTGGGGGTGTGATTGTGACGTAGAACCAGTTGATGGTGTCCCGGGGCAAATCCTCCAGGCGACACTGACAACAAGTCATCAAACTGGGCTTGGCTCAGTCAGAAGCACCGCTGAAAGCCTCCGTCATCCAGGTTCAGTTTCTGAAGGAGTTTATGAGCTCACAGAGCTGGATGCACCTCTGAAAGCATGTAGTGCACTCAGACACGGTCCTAAACGTATCGACGCTGTTTTTCAGCCTTCCTAAAGCACATTAAAACTGTTATTTTCTTCATAAAATCCATGTTAGCCATTTAGCAATGAAGCTACAGTCACCAGGAAGACAGAAGCCCTGCCCATCACGCCAATCCGCATCTGTTCTGAAGTAAATTTGACACGCGAATGAAGCAGATTTGACGCGCGAATGAAGCGAGTAAACTCAAATGTTCACGCGACTATTTACGCACGAATAGCGCGATTTATCCGCGCGTTCCGCGTCTGGTGTGAACACAGCATTAGAAGCACTTTAATGATTAATTATTCAACACACACACTTTTGGGAAAACTACTTTCATCAGTAAACAAGTTTATTTTAACACCAAACACACTAGTATTGGCTCAACGCAAGGCGTGCTATTTAAGAGGTGGACTTCTTTTCAACGTAAACGGATTAAATATACCTTAATTATCTCCGCGTCACCGGAAGGACTCAGTCAAAGTAGTCTTCAATGTCGATGTTTGGGTTTAGCAGCTCCTCGCCATATCGGGTCAAGTCCATTTGGTTGAGGATGAGGTTTTCGAAGGTTTCCTCCAGATCGGTTTCTCCAATAAGGACGGCTCCCACCATCCGGCCGCCGCTCAGGACCACTTTCACATACTCCTGTCCTTTCGTACACCGCACGAGAAGCTCGTGGTCCTGGCCCAAACCCTGAGCGTTGAACTTCCCCAGCAAAACCACCTGCGGATTAAAAACAACCCCCCCAAAAAAATAGACATATATGAAAATAGAGGCATTTTCACATTCTTACAAACAGAGAATTACCATTTAAAATCAACGAATGGCCAAAATAATCTGAATTCTGATTGAATGTTGCTTGGTCTTACATAAAGAGAGGAAGAGGATAAAATAAAAGTGGAAATTCCTCTAGAAAGAGCTTGATATTTTGTTTATTTGAATATTTATAACAGATAGAATTGCTCGCCTTGTAGTTGAAGAACTTTGTGATGTGTGAGAAGAGCTCAAAGCAGAAGTCCAGCTCGATGGGCTCGTCCAGGACATCTGCAGCCATGCAGCGAGCTGCGTACCAGCCCATCTGACGCGCCTGAGTCCACAGCCGCATCTGAACCAGACAATCAGCCCTCAGTACGTCACGATAAACCAATCACTGAGCCAGAACCACTGTGTTTGTTTAAAGTAGGGGTGGCCAACCCTGGTTTATAGCATATATGAAAGCACGTTTCAAGGATTTTGGAGATCCCAATAAGAGCAGCCTTACCACAGACACTTATTCTGCAAACTGCTGTAGGATTTGATCTTGACTAAACTAAACATTAATATGTTTTAGGTATATCTCTTGGCAATATTTCGTCTCAATCATCAGTTCCAGATCTGACGGAGATGTTAAGTTTTAGAAATGTACATAAATTAAATGCTGGCGAATCACATCCATTGTTATTTTGTCCTATTACCTTAGCATCTTCACGTTGTTTGTGAGAAATATTATTTATAATTGTTGTTTTTAATAAAAAAATGCATTCCAAGGTACGTTATTCCCAGATAACAACCGCAAAAAAAAAAACACAGGCTCATCCGGGAATATCGACGAATACGTTCAAATCAAGATACTGATGTCTTTGCATGTCTCTTTGACACTGTCTTGAGGAAGATAATATGCAAGTTAGTCTATGATTTATTCAGCCAGAGTCGCTTCTGTCAGCTTTGTGTTTTTGACTGTTTGACACCATCTTGAGTCTGAATAATGCGCAGGTTAGTGTATACTCCATCAGCTGTTTTAGTTTCTGTTGTGTTTTTGACTGTTTGGTGCCATGTTGTGTCTGAATAATGCTCAGGTTAGTGTATACTCCATCAGCTGTTTTAGTGTCTGTTGTGTTTTTGACTGTTTGTCTCCATCTAGTGTCTGAATAATGCGCAGGTTAGTGTATACTCCATCAGCTGTTTTAGTGTCTGTTGTGTTTTTGACTGTTTGTCTCCATCTTGTGTCTGAATAATGAGCAGGTTAGTGTATACTCCATCAGCTGTTTTAGTTTCTGTTGTGTTTTTGACTGTTTGTCTCCATCTTGTGTCTGAATAATGCGCAGGTTAGTGAATACTCCATCAGCTGTTTTAGTTTCTGTTGTGTTTTTGACTGTTTGTCTCCATCTAGTGTCTGAATAATGCGCAGGTTAGTGTATACTCCATCAGCTGTTTTAGTTTCTGTTGTGTTTTTGACTGTTTGTCTCCATCTAGTGTCTGAATAATGCGCAGGTTAGTGTATATTCCATCAGCTGTTTTAGTTTCTGTTGTGTTTTTGACTGTTTGGCGCCATCTAGTGTCTAAATAATGCACAGGTTAGTGTATACTCCATCAGCTGTTTTAGTTTCTGTTGTGTTTTTGACTGTTTGGCGCCATCTTGTGTCTGAATAATGCGCAGGTTAGTGTATACTCCATCAGCTGTTTTAGTTTCTGTTGTGTTTTTGACTGTTTGGCGCCATCTAGTGTCTAAATAATGCACAGGTTAGTGTATACTCCATCAGCTGTTTTAGTTTCTGTTGTGTTTTTGACTGTTTGGCGCCATCTTGTGTCTGAATAATGCGCAGGTTAGTGTATACTCCATCAGCTGTTTTAGTTTCTGTTGTGTTTTTGACTGTTTGGCGCCATCTAGTGTCTAAATAATGTGCAGGTTAGTGTATACTCCATCAGCTGTTTTCGTTTCTGTTGTGTTTTTGACTGTTTGGCGCCATCTTGTGTCTGAATAATGCGCAGGTTAGTGTATACTCCATCAGCTGTTTAAGTTTCTGTTGTGTTTTTGACTGTTTGGCACCATCTTGAGTCTGAATAATGCACAGGTTAGTGTATACTCCATCTGCTGTTTTCGTTTCTTTCAGCTTTGCGTTTATTTAAAGAATGAATAAACTATTATGTGTCTAATTTTTATAATTTGTGGCAAGTGTAATAAGTGGGATGAAGTACATGCAGAACAGTTGTTTTCACAGAATAAAACACTTCAGTCTTATACGGTAAATCTGTCGGGGTTTATTCTGTGATGCACTTTATCCCTAACATATTATACTGCTGCTCATGTGACATTGCTTATGTAATCATGCATCTGTAAAATAGTATTAGTATTGGCCTGGAAAGCAGTAAAAACCCAGTAAGAGATGTGCAGGTGTACCTGTTGCCAGATAGAGCTGGGCTCCCAGCCTGCACTGCACACGTCACCAGCCGCAAACACGTCCGCTTCAGAAGTGCGCATGTGATCGTCCACTAGCAGACCGAGATCCGCCGCCACATCAAACTGTAAGAAGATGCATAAAATACATTAAACAAAATGAGCAAATTCTATAAAGCAGATTTTTAAAGAATTATTATAATAGAATAATTCGTATTTTTTAAGATTAGTAACGTTTCTTTTAGTTTTAAAGTCAAGTAAAACCTAATTTATTAAGCTATTATTATGTGTTAAGTAATTATCAATAAAATATATGCAATATTAATATAACACAACTATAAATTTAACACACACAACAGACACTTGTTCAAAATAACAAATGAGGATAAAAGAAACAACAATAATAATAATAATGATTTATTAAAATGATAATAATAATTAATAATAATGATAATGATAAACATTATTTTTTTAAATAAAAATATGGTTTCAAAGAACCGTTTTTAAATATAAAAAATAATTAAACACATAATTTTATAAATGTTATCAACAAAATCCAATAGTAAGTAAATATTAAATTGACAAATATAAATATTGTTAAATATTAATGACTTTGATTTATTACGATTATTTAATCAACACATAAATACACGTTTATAACTAAACGTATGGATTCAGATGCATGTTTACATTGTTGCCAGGAAGAAACGGATCAGTGTTTGGTACGACGCCTGTTGCGCTGACAATAAAATCACAGCCATAAATCTTCCCATTGGTCAACTGCACATAAGCTGGCCACACGCCTGTAAACAACAACAAACAAACAAACATTTAGGTTCTATTATTAAGCTGAACGAATTATTTTCAGGCTGTGTTTGTTAATTTACCTAATTCAGCCGTCTTTGTGCTGTGCTCGGACTGCAGAAGCTCCTGCTGGGTGTAAATCTGCTCAACCTCACACTCGTATTCGATATGAATGCCACGGACGCTCTGAGAAATGATGGAGGAGTATGAAAAAAATGCAGTGGAAAGAGATCTTTTTGAATCATTGTAAGTAAGCTGGTTAGTGTATAAATGCAAACATGTGCTGTATACAGACCTGCTTTGCTCCTCTTAGTTCAATGCCCTCATGCCAGTCTGGGCCGAGGGCACTGCCGAGCTCGGATGAAGACCCACTGTGGCCTGCTGGGAAACATAAACAACAAAAAAAATTTAGATAAATAAAAAAAAAAAAGCTAAATGACAGGCAAAGGACAACGAGAGGGAAAGCTAAACGAGAAGGAAAGCTAAACAAGAGAGAAAGCTAAACGAGAGGGAAAGCTAAACTAGAGGGAAAGCTAAACTAGAGGGAAAGCTAAACTAGAGGGAAAGCTAAACGAAAGGGAAAGCTAAACTAGAGGGAAAGCTAAACTAGAGGGAAAGCTAAACGAGAGGGAAAGCTAAACGAGAGGGAAAGCTAAACGAGAGGGAAAGCTAAACTAGAGGGAAAGCTAAACTAGAGGGAAAGCTAAACTAGAGGGAAAGCTAAACGAGAGGGAAAGCTAAACGTGAGGGAAAGCTAACCGAGAAGGAAAGCTAAACGAGAGGGAAAGCTAAACTAGAGGGAAGGCTAAATAAGAGAGAAAGCTAAACGAGAGGGAAAGCTAAACGAGAGGGAAAGCTAAACTAGAGGGAAGGCTAAATAAGAGAGAAAGCTAAACGAGAGGGAAAGCTAAACGAGAGGGAAGGCTAAACGAGAGGGAAAGCTAAACGAGAGGGAAAGCTAAACGAGAGGGAAAGCAAAGTGACAGGGAAAGCTAAACGACAGGCAAAGCTAAACGAGAGGGAAAGCTAAACGAGAGGGAAAGCTAAACGAGAGGGAAAGCTAAACGAGAGGGAAAGCTAAACGAGAGGGAAAGCTAAACGAGAGGGAAAGCTAAACGAGAGGGAAAGCTAAACTAGAGGGAAAGCAAAGTGACAGGGAAAGCTAAACGACAGGCAAAGCTAAACGAGAGGGAAAGCTAAACGAGAGGGAAAGCTAAACGAGAGGGAAAGCTAAACGAGAGGGAAAGCTAAACGAGAGGGAAAGCTAAACTAGAGGGAAAGCAAAGTGACAGGGAAAGCTAAACGACAGGCAAAGCTAAATGAGAGGGAAAGCTAAACGAGAGGGAAAGCTAAACGAGAGGGAAAGCTAAACGAGAGGGAAAGCTAAACGAGAGGGAAAGCTAAACGAGAGGGAAAGCTAAACGAGAGGGAAAGCTAAACGAGAGGGAAAGCTAAACGAGAGGGAAGGCTAAACGAGAGGGAAAGCTAAACGAGAGGGAAAGCTAAACGAGAGGGAAAGCAAAGTGACAGGGAAAGCTAAACGACAGGCAAAGCTAAACGACAGGCAAAGCTAAACGAGAGGGAAAGCTAAACGAGAGGGAAAGCTAAACGAGAGGGAAAGCTAAACGAGAGGGAAAGCTAAACGAGAGGGAAAGCTAAACGAGAGGGAAAGCTAAACGAGAGGGAAAGCTAAACGAGAGGGAAAGCTAAACGAGAGGGAAAGCTAAACGAGAGGGAAAGCTAAACGAGAGGGAAGGCTAAACGAGAGGGAAAGCTAAACGAGAGGGAAAGCTAAACGAGAGGGAAAGCAAAGTGACAGGGAAAGCTAAACGACAGGCAAAGCTAAACGAGAGGGAAAGCTAAACGAGAGGGAAAGCTAAACGAGAGGGAAAGCTAAACGAGAGGGAAAGCTAAACGAGAGGGAAAGCTAAACGAGAGGGAAAGCTAAACGAGAGGGAAAGCTAAACGAGAGGGAAAGCTAAACTAGAGGGAAAGCAAAGTGACAGGGAAAGCTAAACGACAGGCAAAGCTAAACGAGAGGGAAAGCTAAACGAGAGGGAAAGCTAAACGAGAGGGAAAGCTAAACGAGAGGGAAAGCTAAACGAGAGAGAAAGCTAAACGAGAGGGAAAGCTAAACGAGAGGGAAAGCTAAACTAGAGGGAAAGCAAAGTGACAGGGAAAGCTAAACGACAGGCAAAGCTAAACGAGAGGGAAAGCTAAACGAGAGGGAAAGCTAAACGAGAGGGAAAGCTAAACGAGAGGGAAAGCTAAACGAGAGGGAAAGCTAAACGAGAGGGAAAGCTAAACGAGAGGGAAAGCTAAACGAGAGGGAAAGCTAAACGAGAGGGAAAGCTAAACGAGAGGGAAAGCTAAACGAGAAGGAAAGCTAAACGAGTGGGGAAAGCTAAACGAGAGTGAAAGATAAATGACAGGCAAAGCTAAACGACAGGCAAAGCTAAACGAGAGGGAAAATTAGTTAAAAAACAAAGTGGTTTTGAAGCTACTGTTGGGTAAAGTTACTTAAAAAATATATTATAACCTGAATCCTATCCTCACTCACTTTCATTCAGCTGATTTCCTGCTAAAAAATTAGTTAATATTCCTATTTAAAATTCAAATGCAAGAAACGCAGAAATAGCAGTAACTTACTCAGTAATTTAATATAATACTTTCAGAAGTAACTTTACCCAACATTGGAAATAAAATGATATAGTATGTGGGCTAAGGAATTAGCTCAATTGACTGGGGTGGAACCGCTTCAGATTTTTGGAAGTCGACTTTTGTGTTATTAACTATCATCAATAAGACACAAGACGCCAATATTATGCAACATGCCACAATTTCATATTTATTTGCAGGAAATTCATATACAGGTGCTGTTTGCAAAAACAATTCAACGTTACCAATGACTAATGTTAGTGGAAAACTAATGCATTGTCAACACTGTTTCATTTCGTTAACCAGTTAAACTCTGCTGCTATTTGGGGATTTCCGCCTGGATTTTGCCTACCTAAATTTAAAAGCTTCCCAACTCCACATGCAGAGGTGTAAATGCAAAAATTTGGTATAATTTTAAAGAAAACCCTTTGAATTTTCATAAAACACAGTTGAAAGTGTGTAAAATATCTGTATATGTTGTCTGTGTTATAATAAACACCTAAAAAAGAGGCGCTTTTTGTACTTTTTTATTATAAACTCAATTTTAAAAGTGTACCTTTTAGGTTGTGTGTGGTCTAGCGTGCTGTAATTAATGTCGGTGGTTCCTGCACATGTCTGTAATCATAGGCAAAAATAAAAATGTCTCCACCATAATCTATGCAAAAATTATTGTTTTCCAACTGATGCGAGGTGCTGTACAAGCCACAGGGAGCGATCATTGTTTTCATATTTCACTATTCTTTTGTTTGATCAAACATAATTCACTGTGTTTGGAGCACGTCAGACATATAAAAGGATTACTTATGCACATCACCTCAAAAACAGAGGAGAATGGTGCTGATGGGCACAGCATAAGGTGAGAGATGACAGCTGCTATCTGGGGCTGCTTATTGATCATAAATGTACTGTTTTCACTTCTGCACCATGGAAACACCGCGATTCATTCGACAACTGTTTGATATGTGAATATAATTCAGTAAAAAGAATGTTGGAACCGTATGAGCACCGGCAAGAGCTTTCATTTGAGCTATAACTTGTACATGCGTCATATATGAACCACATGAAAATAAACCAATGTTCAATACTCAGCTCGGGTATCCAAAATTCTGTGTATTTAAGTGTAAATAACTTTTATACAGTAGAATAAAAACCAAAGTGAGGCATATGTGCATAAGATATAGATTCTACACTTTCAAACGAAACTACTTACGGGGGTCTGGTGCAACGCTAGCCCTTTAAATCTTAAAAAAAAAAAAATTTAAAAATCTTAAAGCGAAAGTCGATGACGCCATGGACTCGGTACGGGGTCCACAGAGTTTAACTGGTAATGCAACATTAGCATCCGGGCTAATTTTAGTGCAAAATGAATGCAGTCAACACATTGATTGTGGCTCGTACTACTAAGAATGTAACAATAACGTATATTTAGTGCAAAATTAATGCATACATTGCATGGCGTGATGATCTAACTGGCTGACATCTGTTTGACGATTTAAAGATCATGTGAATCAATGACGCTGACATAAAAAATAACGTTCAGACTAACATCAATACTGCGACTATGCGAGTGCAGTTTCATTCGTGTGTAAGCTGCCATGTAGTTCAGGTCAAAAGCCATGTGGTCTGCGCAGCGCAGCGCGACTAGCTGACGTCAGTCAACAAGCGTTACGCCTGTTTCACACCGCAAGCGTCAGCGGCGCGTGAGCAGAGCGTGAGCAGCGCGTGTGTTTTCGGCGTCCATGTTAACAGATTAGAGCTTTCATACCGTGAGCGTGAGCGTCGCCGAAGCGTGAGCGTGAGCGTCGCCGAAGCAGCAGTGCAGCGATAGTTTCGGCGCTGGGTCTATTTTTGCCGTGCTGCTCACGCTCAATTAAAGTGACAGTGCATTGATAATGACCTAAACACATTGAATGACAGTAAAAAGTAGCAATTTTACCCAATAAATGCGTTAATAATGTCAAATGGTTTATATATAGTCATTCAAATGAACTTAAAACGATTAAAAACGGCAACAAACATTTATTTAGGCCCGAACTACAAAAGCAAATGTAAAACAATTTTAGTATCAGTTTTGCTTAAGTTGCACACTAGTGTTGTAGGAGAGGGGGAATAGAATATTTACGGGATTTGTAGTCCATAGCGAAGTGTATTGTGGGTAGTGTAGTTCGACACGCATGCTGGATGATGTGAGCTCGCTGTGTGCTGTGCAGCTGAGCAGAGGAAGAAAGTTTTAATCGGCTTTGTTTTCTGTTCACTCGAGTTATTCCTACCGGGAGCTGTTTGCACTGTGAATCTGACAACACGAAAATAAGTACAAGAATGGCATACATTGGTTACTTTCGTCCGTCTCATCATCTGCACGAGCATGAATTAACGAGCTGTTATTCCGCCGCTGGACATCACTGAAGCGGAGAAAGTAACACTAGGTTGATCATGTATAAATATCATTATAACTATGTTGTATAAATATGATTATAACTAGGTCTACAGCAACCTGATAATCAAAAAACAAATGACATGACATCACAGGCGATTGTCTTCTGACTGTAGACACTTCTCATATAAGTTAGCTTGAGAAGCATACAGTACTATTTGATCTACAAAATTGGTAAAATACACATTTGCAGGTTAAAGAAACAGCATAGGAGGGGCCTTGGTGCAGATGAAAAGTTTAAAAGTGTATTTGTATATAGAGAGACATGGGGAACTAGATAGAATAGACAGAGATATGTTGATCTTTGCAGCAGCTGCCGAAGAGCTGCGCGCTGCAGACGCAGCTGGTGTGAAAGGCAAACGCCTGCGTGCTGCTTCTGCACGACACACGCGCTGCGCACACTCTGCTCACGCGCCGCTGACGCTTGCAGTGTGAAACAGGCTTTAGACATTAAAGTCGACTGGATGGTGCAACCCCTGCTAAATTTACCTTAAAACCCCAGATAAAAATGTTTTGGTTGGCATGTACAGTATGTTACATATTCTGCATTTTTGCGCAAAAATAAATAAAATAAAATTGAAAACTGCAGGAACTAAAATCCACTTATTTAAATATAAATTAATATTTATCAGAAGTACAGTAGGAAATTGGTGAAGTAGTGGCGCAGTAGGTAGTGCTGTCGCCTCACAGCAAGAAGGTCGCTGGTTCGGGACTCGGCTGGGTCGGTTGGTGTTTCTGTGTGGAGTTTGCATGTTCTCCCTGTGTTTGCATGGGTTTCCTCCGGGTGCTCTGGTTTACCCACCAATCCAAAGACATGTGGTACAGGTGCATTGGGTAGGCTAAATTGTATGTAGTGTATGAGTGTATATGGATGTTTCCCAGAGATGGATTGCAGATGGAAGGGCATCCGCTGCGTAAAACATATGCTGGATAAGTTGGCGGTTCATTCCACTGTGGTAACCCCAGATTAATAAAGGGACTAAGCCGACAAGAAAATGAATGAATGTAGTACAGTAGGAAACGGAGATGTAAAACGAAAGATTTAAAAAAAAAAAAAAGTGCAATTAAATGTATTTTTTAAAAGATTCAATTAAATAAATGTTTCATTAAAGTTGAACTATTAATAAGTAAAACGTAATACCGTACAATTATAGGTAAATAACTGATAAACGTCTGAATATTTTTTAAAATATAAAACTAAACACTTCTACTATAACTTGTAGTAAAATATCTAAAGACAAAAACTAAAATAAGAATTAAAACTTTAAACCAAGTTAAACATGTCTAAAATAACAAACAAAAAAAAAACATTTAGCTAAATTACTCAAACTTAAAATTAAAATGCTAAAAATACGTAAATACAAAAAAACTATAAAAATGTAAAAACATTATTCA